CCTTCCTTATGTGTGTGTATGAATGCTAAACGTAGATGTCTATAGTTGGCATCCAACAGCGGCGGAAAAAAAGAAAAAGATCGTCGACACAGTTTACGGGACGGTATCGGACGGCATCAACTGGCAGTTCCTGCGACTTAGCGGTAAGATGCTACAGGTCTCCAGTAGTGTCTCCATTGTGCCGCAAAAAAACCAGCCCTGATGTGTATGTATTATGTGTGGCTCTGTTGAATATGGGACTGTCTAACAAAATGTCGGTATCGATTTATCGACACCATAATCAGAGCGGCGATCGCGTCCAGTCCACACACGAGCCCTCAGAACAAATTCCCTGCTACCAAGAATGGATGAAATCGGCTTGTTCAACCCGGATTTAATCTCTGAATCCAGCAGGAGTTGCCTGCGAGGGGTTCTGGAAGTGATGGGGGGTTAGAGGAACTCGAGATCATTCGCTCAGGTTATTCCGTTAAGGTAGCCAGCTGGTGGACTCCCATCCATTCAAGCTCCTCTCTCACTGACTGTCATCTTTGTAGCTTTAGATCGCGAATTCGAAGGAGCGAGGTGCTCGATTCAGCAGTGAATGGGGAGGAAAAGAGGATGTTGGGAAGGCAAGGCGAACAGGGAAGAGGTTGATGGTTGATGGAACGTTCATATGGAATTGGAAATTGTTGCAGCTAAAACCGCTACACAATATACCTGATTTTTGCTTAGAATGTTATTCTGGACCAGGGATGAAAAAACAAAGGCAAAAAAAAGAAATACGAATTTTCGAATACTGGGACTCGGATAAAGATTCCTTCCGTAGCGGGGAATCGAACCCCGGGCTGCTGTGTCCTCATCCAGTTGAGGAATGAGAGACAGCGATGTTAACCACTACACCACTACGGAGCTGTGGAAGTTGGGGGTCGATATGTGATTTATCAAGCTTATGTAATTCTTGACTGGAACTCTGGAGTATATGACGAGGTAAAATCTGTGGGAGCAAGGCGGGTGGCCCAATAAGAAAGAAGAGGAAGAAACAATAAGGGTGAAAAAAATAGAAGCAGAAACAGGGGATTCTAGAGTATGCAATATATTTATATGCAATATGTTTATCCAACTAGGTACTAAATTTCACGAACTGAACTTCTTTCTTTCGTGACAGAGGAAAAATCAGTGATAGGTATCCTTTCGAAACAAAAGAACGCTAATAATTATTCCCAGACCGAGAATGATATCGTGTTCAAAAAGTTAAACTACTAGATTACAGCCCAGGAAATGGCGAATGATTCGTGTCAATGATGAAATGCTGGGGAGGATACCAAAAGCAAAAAAAAAAAATCACCGTCAAAGAACTCGGGACTCATATGAGTCCATCAGATATCTGCTCGTCACCACTTTTTGAGTTGGAGAGAGAGAGTTTGCTTATTATTATCGGAATGCTTGTATTCAATTCACACTGTGTGTGTGTTTGTGGTAGCTCTGGGCCATGTTGTTTGATGAGAACGTTATCATCACATACGGAGTATCTAGATTGAATAATAAAAGACGATGATGGTTAATTAACCAAACCAGATCGGGAAAAAAAAATCATGGATCGCTAAACAGATCGATCGATCGATCAGATCTCAGATTAGTCTGCATGCAGGTAATAAGCTACTCCGTAGGAATCTAAAACTAAGCTACGAGGATGGAATACTCCGTACCTGATGACGTGCATACAGAGTATCAATAATATATCTACGTCACTAACCTCAAGAATATACGATATACAGTGATACTGAACTGAACAGAGCAGATTATTGAGTGCGATATATATAAACTTGTGTGTCATGCATTGATATCCAACCAAACCAACCACACAATCCATCCATCCAAACCAGCCATACCTACTCCTCATCAACCTTATATAATCCTGCCATAACAAAACAAAACAAACATATCTACATACAATAACCAGTCGTATATACATAGTACATACATCGTACGAATCCAAAAAAAAAAAAGAAAAAAAAAGGTAAATCATTGGTGCGGTGACAACTTCGGCGTATGGATATGAGTCCACACGTCCCGGCATTCGCTCAGGTAACAGCGGTCGACGTAGAAAAACTCGGTCAGCAACGAGCGGAACTCGTCAAAGGTCTGCAGCCCCTGCGCACGCACCGCCGTCGCGAGCTCGTTGACAAAGTACCACCGCTGAGGGAGAAATTTGGCGCTGCACGCGCCGATGAATAGCAGCCAGATCAGCAGGTCCTGGCACAGCTCGTACTGCCCCGCCGCGATGCCGCTCCGCAGCGCCCGCTCAAGCGCCAAAACCGGCTGGGGCAGAACGGCCGCCATCTCGGGATAGAACCCCCAGATGGCTGTGTTGTGAAACAATAGACACGCCAGTCGAACAGCCCCCTCGATCGTGTCGTCTCCCTTCAGCTGGCCCGCCGCGGTGTACCGGTCATTGAACAGACTGTACTCCACATATAATACTTCATTGTTGAAGTAGTCTTCCACTTCTTCATCGAAGAGAACGACGGCCCGCTTGGGGTCCGTCTTCACGAGTTCCGAGTAGAGCGTCAACTCCAGCAGATCATTGATCGTCTTGCTCATCTCATTCCCGAAAAAGCCGGGGATTTGGGTTAACGACAGCAGACGCGAGGCCATGTTCCGGCCGTATTCTTGCAAAACGGGTAAGGAGACATGGGCTGGTCGGGAGTAGCGAACAAACGGGAAAATCGGCTTGCTCAGACCTAAACAAGCGCATCTGATGTCCGTCCTAGAGAGAGCGCGTCAGCAATCTCCGCTGCAAGGATCGCTTGACTCTACCCACCATTCGATTTGTTTCCGGATTTCTGGAGCAATGTCGGAGAAGTTCTGCCGCAAGGCGACCATCTTGCGTAGGCCATTCAGATGGATCTTGATGTGCTCCGGATTTCCGAAGACAATCTGCGACCGTCAGAAATTACACCACCTCACGCTGCATAACGCACTTCAAAGATCTTACCTCTATCGATATGAGAATAGCAACGGCGGCAATCAAAGCGTCGCTCGAGGCAGTGGCCGGATTCGACAACCCATGATTGACGCGCTTGATCGTTTCTCCTCTGGAATGTAATCGATCCAGAATAAGAGGACTGGTCATTTGCGTCGCGGGATCGGCGAAGAAATCGCCCGCCATCAAGGCCTTGTTTGTCGCCGCTGACGTGATACAAGCAAACAATGGAGCAGGATTCTCCCGTACCAGTGTCGCCCAGTGATCCCGCAGTTTAGTCGTATCATGCGACCGAAAAGGGACTGCGCGTTCGGTCAGGTCATGCAGGACTGGGATTCATCTGTTAGCACATGGTTCCAGCTCAAGACGCGAGTTGCACGGGATCCTTACAAAAATGAAGATGCGCAACGTGGCGACCGGAGAGCTGGACTCGCGTCGACTGGAAAGGGTCGTTCATACCCTGTCCCACATACGACAAAGGGACCACCGCTGTCGCGACATCTCCCCAGTCCTGCACTGGATAGCCCGCCTGCAGGTCCCTTATGATTCCTCGAGGGGAGTGCGCCGGAACCACGTCCGACGAAGGGGTGACGCGCTCTACCGAGTTCGGGGGACTATGGGACGGCGATTCATCTCTGTCGGACGAGACTGAATCCTTGGAAGTGGAGCTTTCAGAAGACGAGGGAGATGGGTGTGAAGCGCCCGCTGGGGGGCGGTATGCCAGGCTCTTCCACGTTTTACTCTTGTTATAACGCCGGGTGTTTTCCAGCCTCTTCTTTCGATTATGCTCGGACATCACATGGGAGCGGATTCGCTTCAACGTCTCCTCTCGAGAGCCTCCCTTGACGGACTGGGGATCGGAATTGACCCAGAAGAGCGTGGACCGGCCACCGGCCGTGCGCGGCTTGTGCGAGTCGGACGAGGGGGCATCATCATTCGGGGCTGGGCGGTCGCGGTGTTATTAATCAATCTTGCAGCAGCGCACAATGGCAGGAATGCGAAGACGCATTGTCACACTTACCTGGGTCCGATTCTGGGTGCTGGGGATCAGAGAAGACGGGGAAAACCCGCTCAAAACCGCTCCTGGGGTGGGACGCAGGGCGGTGGTGGGCGACTGTCTTGGCATCCATTTCATCGAGACAGGCAGACTGGGACCGTCCTCGAGACGATCATCGTCTGCAGAAGTTCCAGAGGCGAACGGGGAGTTCTCAGAAGTCTGGGCGAAGATCGCAGGAAATCAAATTGCTGAATGGCCAGCACACTGCCTTTATCAGGCAAAGTCGGCTGGATGACAGCTGCCGCGCTGCGTTGGCAGTGCATCCGACTCGTGGGGTGCCAGGGGAGGCGGACGGGCCCGTCGGCATTGGGCCGAGCTTGTGATGCGCTGAGCCCGCGATCCACCCATCGCAGCCCGCGAGGCGCAGCAGCGGGCGCGTGGAGCCGAGCACGAGGCCATCACGTGGTCGGCCTGCCTCTCGGGTCGGATCCTCGCTGTTCCGTCCGGCACGTGCGGGCGCTTAGTAATCCATCCCACCCGGCGAGTCTTACTCTGGAGTCTGGAGTACATAGTAATTTCTACTGTTTGCGGTCTGCATGATTACGCGACTTACAGATGCTTGTGCAGTCAGATGTGTTGTACTACCTAACGTCTGATATTAATTAAGTGGTGAATCGGAGTCACCTACTAGGAACGCCACAGTCTGATATGAACGGCTGACGATCCGGCTGTCATTGATGATTTGCTCAGAGCCAAGCGCTGCTCGGAAGTTTTGAACCCTCTATATTTAGCATCTTGAAGTTGGAAGGCTTCTATTGGTGGAAGCGATATTAACGCACTCCCATCCGGGGTGGTGGCTGTATGGACGAACTCTATACCGGTGAACTTGGATGCGAGGTCATGGCATATCTTCACTCTGATGCTACTAGTACTGTACTAGAGCAATACACCTTGACAAAGAGAAAGCTAACAGCTACGCAACCATATGTAGGAGATACTAGAAGCCAATTTCAGAGATCTTAGACTTCACAATCATAACACCAATTGACAAACCAACGACTATGCTCCGTCTCCAGTTTCTAGTTGTTTCCTGTCCACATTGTCTTGCGACTGTTCAACACCTGACTTCCTTTAAACGGATTCGTGCTAAAGAGATGTCTCTCGCGGAGCTCGGTACAGTCCAACAAGGTTCTCGAATAACTAGAAGTGGTGTATAAGACTTTAAAAACTTTTGGCCGTCCGGACTTGACGTGTCTCTTGAGCATGTCGAGAACGCCTTTGCATTGGTCTCAGATTTGGAGGCCATCGATTATACAGAGAAGGTGAGGGCCTGCATGATCGAGCAAGGTGTCCAGAATGGAGACAGCAGGTTCCAAGCTCGCGTCTGTCCCGTCCAGGGCTTCAAATCTCTCGGGGCAGAAATCGGGGCCGTCTAATATTTCGGCTGGTACAAGCCTTTTGCAGAGAAGTTGCCTAATGAGACTGTAGACGAGCCCAGTGGTCACCGCCCATTCTGGAGAACTGCTTTTTATTTCTGTACCGTCGTTTGGGCGTTGGCAGTAGAACGCGAGATACGGGACTTTAAGATGAATTGCGCTGTCGATGACGCTGGTAGCTGCGATTGCCATGGAAGATGGAAGGTGGGTTTTGATAGGCCCAGCCAGCAAGAGAAGCTGGGAATTGCTTGCTGCATTCCACGCGGACAATTTGGCGTCCACAGAATGGTGGGCGTAGACCGTCCCAGGGAGTTGTTGCTCGGACCCTGTCGTTCCGAACACGTGCTTGTCGAGGTGCTGTGTGTAGACGAGAATGTCGTCTTTTTGGAATTCCTGAGGCGCGCCTTCCATGGTGAGTCTCGAGGGTTGAACGTCGTTCCTCTTCAGAGATGTCTGGCTTGCAAGAAGCCCTTCTAGAGAACATCTCAGTGATAAAGCCCGGTGACTCCAAGGCTGACTCACGATGCTGACTCACGGGAAGCAATCCTAAGCCACTTTCTGATCACCATGTTTCGATACATCTCCTCCAAAGACTCACGAGCCGCCTGCCCTGTTCTGGTAAGATCGTCTATCCGACGCTGAACTTTCAAATCATTTTCCTTGACTTGCTGTTCGATTCGACTTGCTGAAAGCAGATTCTGTGGGACTAGAAATTTGATTTCTCTGCTCTCGGCCAGTCCTGCCAAACTCCCTTCTCGATGCATCTTGTTCACAAGGTCTCTGATTTTAGAGATGGTTTCATTTATCTGATCACTGCCGTTTTCGGTAAATATATAAAAAGGGGGAAAAAAAGGAAGCAGGTATATCGATACCCTCACGTTGATATTTCTTTTTTTTATACTATTATTATGTAAAATGCAAAACATCCCTCCTCTTTTCTTTTTCCTTTCTCTCTTCTCTAAACAAAGATGCATATGGATGCTATGCATGCGACAAGACAAGTCAACACAAGACAAGCGATGGATCAAGAGCGCCCGCTAACTAACAAATTGGATCGATGCAGACAAGGAAAAAAAAAAAAAAGAAAAGGGAAGAGATCGCCAAAAAAAGTAATCAGTAAGTCAAAGCAAAGTAGTAAGTAGTAATTATAAACAAGAAATGGAGAAGAACAGGAGGAAGTTGAGAGACGAAGAAAAAAAATTCCATAGGTACTAGGTACTACGGTTGAGATTTTTTTACGTACGTCAATTATGCTAGATGATTGATGGATGATGGATGATGATGATGATGATAGATGATATATCCGCGCAGGAAAAAAAAATTTCGCCTCGCTCGCCATGCATGTATGTATGTACCTCGCTGCCTCGCACTGCCAACAGGCCACCCAGTTACAACGGCCTTAGGATCGTTATTATCTTATGAATGAGTGAATGAAGAGTCATTCATTCTCTTCTTTGTCAGCTCCCTCCAGGTCGTGGAAAGACTGGAATAGTCTCGAGCTGCTCAAGTCCTCCCATAGTGCCCTGTTGACCGCTGACATGCCACCCTTGGCCAGTCTGCTGGTTGACAAAGGCACTCTGTCGGAAGGGATTCGTGCTGCCTGTAGGGTTGGGTCGCAGGGGCTGTAGCCCTTGCTGTTGCTGCTGTTGCTTGTCAGGTGCTACAGAATGCCGGGCGAAGGGATTTGTTCCAGTGCGTTGCACCTGAAGTGGTTGTGTTGTCGGCTGTGTCGTTTGGTTCTGTTGTTGGAAGGACGGCTGCTGAGGACTGAGGGTCGAGGCGCGCTTCGCGAACGGATTAGTGTTCTGGCGCGTTAAAGGACTTGGTGCCTGTAATGATTGACCAAAGCCGCTTGGACCCTGACTACCGGTAGGTTGATTGACAAGCATCGACTGCCTGAAAGGGTTGGTACTCTGCTGTTGCGGGCCAGTTGACATGGCTTGTTGCTGAGGGAAGGAAGCCACCCCGTTCTGGGGAATCGGCGTAAGAGTGCTTTGAAAGCCATAAGATTGTGGCTGTGGCGTATAGCCGCCGAACCCGGCTCCAGTGTGAGTCGGTTGAAGCGGCTGTGTAGCCTGGGGGTTGTGAGAATGGATTCGTGCCTTGCTGCTGGTTGAAAGGAGCTCCGAAACCAGTTTGCTGCTGAACGAATCCAGTCTGTTGCGGCTGCTGTTGGAAGGCAGTCTGCTGCGGTATGAAGCCGGTCTGCTGAGCCTGGAACATTGGCTGCTGAAAGCCCGCTTGGGGCTGCAAGAGTTCGTTGGTTGCTGCTGCTGCTGCTGCTGCTGCTGCTGTTGCTGGGACGCCTGTTGGGCCATGGGTTGTTGATTCTGCTCAATAGATTCGAAGAAATCGATGAGATCGGGTGCAGGCTTGCTTTCCGCCTTTGGTGCTGCCGCCTCTGAAGACTTGGAGGCTGGAGCAGTGCTTGGTCGGGGTGGATCCGCCGGCTTGCTTGGTGTAGATGTAGTAGTACTTCGGCCTCTCTTCTTCGCCTCCTTTTGAATTCGATACTCCCTACGACGGAGCTCAAAGTCTGGGTCATTCAGATCATCTTCAAGCAATTTTGCCAGGTCTGTTGAGGCGTGCTTGAGATTGGGAATTTCTAGGCGTGTCGCATGTTCGAAATGCCTGGCGACACCAAGAAACTTCACCACCTCATCTGTTAGAGCTGTGAATGTTTTGTATATTCTCAAGGCGCGCTCGCTGTCAGGCCGAGACATCTCAAAATAATGTTCTAAACAGTCCATGTGAGTTCGGCCATCCTAAGGCTAGATAGTTTTGAAAACAACAGATGCGTACCCAACACATTAATCGTGCCCTCGTTCATGACCGAAAAGAGAGTAAGAAGATCAAGAGTAAGAAGACGGAAAGCCGTCAGGGTGATTTCGTTTTCAACTTCGTCCGTCAGGAGCTGGGAGCGACGATTAACCAGAATGCACACCGAGCGCGCATAGGGGATCAACTCACGTCACAACGGACTAATGCCTTAATCTGCTTTTGTACGCATTCCGTCTCTCTTAACAGGCCCTTTTCGACCGTTAATCGCTTTAATCGGCCTTGCCCACTCCGCACGTAGTCTGTCTTGGTCTCAGCGAATGCCTTGGCTCGGGCGATGAGATAGTCGGAATATCTTCGGATGTTGCGTCCCTGCGCTTGCACTAGTAGAAATATCAGAATCAAACACGGGCGTCTCCAGTATTTCTGCGTCGCCAGACTCACCGTCGGAGAAACTGCTTATCGCAATCTTCCGAGGGTTCTCGGCAATGTATTCGAGCGTCGCGTCCAACGCGCCCTCGCGGATCATGAGGTGGATGACGATGAGGGATTTGAAGACAATCGTCCATGTTGAATCTCGCAGTCGGAACTGGAGGGTTCGAAAGATCTCAGCGACGCCTGCCTCTCCGCTATGGGTTGCGAGGAGAATGTGCTCGATGTATTTCGCCTTGGGGGGCGCAAGCTGTGATCTCATTTCAATCAGTTCAAGCTCATCGGAACTATCGGAGAACGGCATCCAAGGATCGGGGAGAGCTGACTTTGATCTTGGTGGCCCCCTTCACCGACTTCTCGAAATTCTGCGTCATTGTTCACGATCAACTCGTTCGAGCTCGAGAAAAACGGAGTTGGCAAAAGGAGTCCAAGAAACGTCGAACACTGAGGTATCCCCAGACAGATCTCTGTCGACGACTTCCTTTCAGGCTGGCGAATTGGCGACTCAGATGGCGTCTCCAGCAACGGCCGTCATGGTGGCTCACTGGGCCATGTCAGCAACGAGATGGCAGTCTTGCCTCTGCGCGCTGGTGCAGCAATGGAGATCAAGGGCAGTCGATTAATTTCCGGAAATGCGATCGGCCAACGGTCTGCCGGGACAGCTGGCGCGAGGGATCGAAAAGGCGACAGGGATAATGCGCGTGGAGAGGGGAGTCTGGTCCAAGTTCCAACAGCTGGCTGAGCGTCCGAGACGGGCTGGGGGGTCGGATGGATTTGGCGTGTCTCCAGAGTGGAGCCGCCGACGTCGTGACGCAAATCGCTTAGCGCCAGCTCGCTCGTCAATCTACTAGAGCTTTAGCAACCACTAAGTTGGCATTGCTGCTTTCTTAATTCTATCACTGCCATTCTCTATAATTACTGGGTACCCAAGTCTTATTATATGCAACGTTGAAAGGATGACTTTAAAGACAAATAACTATCCTCTAAAATGACAGGGTTAATTAGATGTAGTTTTGCAAAGGTGGCTTTTGGCACAAATATATGAGATGATCAATTTGAGACTATCTGACCAAGACTAATAATAATGATTGACTGTGATACAAGAACAAGAATTAGAATCTATGGAAGAATATAAGGAGATTGTATGCTCATATATTGGAGGAGGAAGGTGTGATCAGCTTCTACCTCTTTATTTGCTTGTGGTATAATCGCTTTGTTCCTAGATGTGAACAGTGACATCTATCCTAATGCTAAATATGGACTTTCTGAGAATACTTCATATTTGTTTATAATATATCACAGGGTATAAAAGAGATTGAGGCATGATCTTTCCACCTTCGCAATTTGCAAGGGAAGGCTTGCCAGTCTAATTTACTATGACAAGATATTAATATGTAAGAGGAATTTGGAAACATAATTCACTTATTTCTGCACAGCAATTGTGGATTATGAGTTCTTAATATTTTGATTGAAGCTCTCTCTGCCTCTTGCTTTTTTTTTTGATTTGGCTAGGCTCGTAGGACCAGAAATGAATGACGAGAAGGCTATTCGGGACGCCCCGCTCCTTCACCAGTCTTCCATTCTAAATCCTCTCCAGCATCGCATCGGTGGTGCCCAGCATGTTGACATGGTTTGACGAGCAGTTTGTTGGCAGGATCATCTAATTCCCGCCTCTGATCAGACCTACTCCCTCCTCGTGGAGATTGACGGCCAAACTTGGCGAAAAATACAACCAGCTCACGGCTCAGGAGGCGCAGGACTTTAGCGACATCGCATCCACTGATGGAAGGGCGTTCCAATCACAGAATCGTCTTCAAGCAGGCGAAAGCCATCTGATTGAGTTGGACCTGAGGAAGAAACGCCCCCATAATAATTGGACGACTCGGCAACGCGTTGTTTTCTGCTGTATGCGCAGGTTTTTTAACCTGAGCAGAGCTCAGGAGACAGCTCTCTTCAATGCTGTCTTCCTTGATGAAGTTCGTCCTCTAGGGTTCCCCCTGGGCCTTCCAGGCACTACGCTGAATACCCAATGGGAAGATATGAAGAAGAGGCGACACGAAGTTTGGACACGTGTGCACATAGAAACAGACTTTTCCAATGGAGAGACACTGTTTTCTAGTGCTTTTTCGAGATCTCAAATCTGCCGCACAAGTCGGCATCCTCGTTAAGAGGAGGTCAGCTGATAGTCTTAATGCCCGCAAGTTTTCAGTTGAGAAAGGAGCAAAGAAAAACAGCCCATCGACCCATATCGATTCGGAGAACAGAAGAACATCAGATGAGTCTTCTGCTCCTGCTCACGTGCCGGTAAGTCTTGTATCTGTTCAATCACAGAAGATAATCTGACGAGCATTCCTAGTTGAAGATGTCAGCTCCTGTTAATGCGCAAGGTTTTCGCTTGACTTGCCCTCACTCTCATATGCCTACTCAGACCAAGATACCAAATCTGGTGTGGCGTTGGGCGAACGATGATTCCCAGGGAATAAATTCTAGACACGGGTATGTCGCCTACATATTTACCGATAGACTCGGTTCAATACCGTCGCCTGGGGAATATAAGCGGGATGAGTTCCAGTCGATGCTGGAAAACCATGCGTGGAAAAGACGCATACCCTCTCCTTTTATCTCAACGTCGTCAGACCCCTTGACGGGAATTCACAGGGCGCTAAGGCACAGCAACCACGCAATCGTTAGTCTGATAGACACTACACAGCTTGACGGTTATCTGAAATTCTCCATGGAAGAGTTAATGGTACAATACAATATTCGGACTCCTGGGTATGCTGGCCGAAAAGAGTATCTCATCTGGGGCGCCATTCCTAAGTCAGCAATTGTCATGACTTTTAGGATCGATGATCTCGTGAAAATCGCAGAGGAGAATGCTGATATTCAAGCTGTGCTGCAGCTAGACACCACGCCGACTCCCGCCATTATTGGGTGAGTTTAACTCGGCGTCTGGAAGAAGGGAATACGAAGGGAGACATCGTTGCTGGAGCAGCAATTGGAAAGCTGTTCCGTCTGCTTCGTTTACCGATAGAATATGTCGAGGACGTAGCGCAGATGATGAATCGATTTTGGAGATTTGTCTCTGGGGACGACTTGACTGACTATCTCCGTGGCGTCTGGGAGGGATTCGAGCCCTCATCGACGCCGAAGCAGCTCAACCAAGTGAATTCACCGTTCCGCCCTCGTTCAAAGAAAAATACTATCCCTCAGCAGTCACTGGCGTCAGGAGAACGAACCGAAGATTTTCTCTCTGCGGGAGTATCAAGCTCTTCTCCTGGTTTCAATGAGACAGAATCTGCTTTACGAGCTTCTAATCATACTGACCCAATCCACATTGATGATGACGACGATTTCATTTTGATCGATACGTCCTGCCCGTCTCGTCGTTTGAAGAAGACAAGAGGCCCTGTGAAGATCGCAGTCGAACATACTGCTTCTGAAGTCTCAAAGAAATTTTCCAATCCACAGCGGGCTCGGCCTGTCCTGAAGGAGCCGCAGCCGCAGCTGCTGACTCCTGGGAGCTCTCCAATGAAGAGAAAGAGAAGCACCTTTAACATCGAGCCCTACAAACCTGAGACCAATTCGTGGTCCCCGGTGCAGCAGAACCCGACCAAGAGGGCCGTAGTGCACAGTGGTTCTCAGGAGAACAACTACATTGTCATTGATGACGATGTTGATCACGAGCTGGACGAGAAACAAGAAGATCAGGATGTGGATGATACCGCATCAGTCATCGACTTCGACGGCGCACCTCCGAGCCCCGCATCCAGTGCTGCCACTCTCAGGGACTTGACAGCAGACGAGCAGTTCGATTTGGACCGTGCTCGTGTCACGCGAATGATGGCATACAACTGGGCGCAGTTCTATAAGATCTTGCAGGAGACGGCGGCGGAAGAACCAGCGTCTGCATCCTCATCCTCATCCTCATTTGCGTCGGCATCTTCATATTATTCGCTGGATTGATCCGTCAGGACAGAGCGGATAAGATGATGGACATCTGAGTGAGGACCAAACGATTCTGTCTCTCGACAATTGTCCTCGTCAAGAATTGCGCAAGAATGGGTTTGTGTGTCCGAGCTTCCAGCATGCAGCTGAACATATTCCTCCTCCTCTTCTTTTCGGGCATGATGAAGATCTCATCTTGTCTATCTGTTCTCGACCACCAAGAGCGAAAATAATCTCGACATGGACTCGATAGGTATTCAGCTATGTCTTCATCCCCTTCCCCTCCCGTCAGAACGTCAGAACTCCAGAACTGCTATCGCAACAAACAGAACGAGGGTCACTTGGATTGAGAACTCGGAGTCTCCTTTCACGTTCTAGTGAAAAATTATGATCACGATCTGCCGAGTTATGACCAGTCGCGGCGAGTTAGTCGAAAAAGCATGGGAAGGAAACATATGACGAGACGTTTTCCCTTCTTTCCTGTTGTCATCGTTGCTATTTGTAGTGATTTCCCCCCGTCTTCCCTGTCTCTTAATGATCTGTCTTCCCCCCCCTGTACTCTGTACTGTTTTTACTACTACTGACTGCATGTATGTACCGTGAGAGCAAAAAGAGGCCGATCAACCTAGGCAAACTTCTTGTTTGTCGGCCAAGTAATGAAAAAGCAGCCCGTTTCAGTTATTCTTAAGACATTTACGTCCGTCCGTAAGAATGACTACATGAACCGCCTTTTTTTTTACCCCCTTCACTTTTCAACAGTATAACTCATATATTTGATTTGAGATATGGTGTCATGAAAAAACATGAACGCCGATATGATTGTGGAAAAAAAGAAATCCCATTTTATTTATCCTTCCTTCGTTCACCCTTGCCCACACCTTTCCGCCTTTCTTTTTCTGCTGTATGTGATGTTTTAAATCCATTCATCGTAGGAATTTTTGTGGTCCTTGGGGTTCGGGTTCCACTTTTTTTTTTCATTTCCTTGGATATTTGCTCTTTTCCCTCTAAGCAGACATCACACGTATGTAAGCAGTAGTAGAGACAAAAACCATTACATGCAGAAAAAAAATTTCCTTTTCCTTTCCCAAGCGAGCTAAGCTAAGCTAAGCTAAGCTAGCTAGCTAGCTATCGACGCGCAAGTCGCGGATACCCAGTACATGCGACTGTGCCCCTCTCCCAGCTTGCTTGCTTGCTTGCTTGGCTTGGCTTTTCTCCCTCTCGTGTCATTATTTCTCTCCTCGCCGTCTGCTTGACACCCCCCGGTTGAGATGCTTAGAATTTGCTGAAAGCCTTGACGTTCTTGGACTTGCCCGTGCGAGGCAGGACACGGAGCACGTTGAAACGAACCTGTAAGATCAGATATCAGCAACCGCATAAATCCTGACAAATGGATTTCCCCTTGGGTCTCCATTTTTTTTTCGTTTGCTCGACCAGGTTTTGCAATTGATGCATTCCAAGGTCAGGTTTCGAGGAAGTCAACGTACAGTCTTGCTCAGGGGACGGCACTGGCCAATGGTGACCATGTCACCTTCCTCAACACGGAAGGCAGGGGACACGTGCGCAGCAATGTTCTTGTGTCGCTTCTCGTAACGGTCGTACTTGGGGACGTAGTGAAGGTATTCACGACGGACGATGATGGTACGGTGCATCTTGGTAGAGACGACGGTACCGGTCAGAATACGACCACGGATCGAAACCAATCCGGTGAAGGGGCACTTCTTGTCTTTACGCGGAGTCAGCATTCGATTCAGATTCAGTTTTCGACATGGCCGTTGCGGATGTCCAATGGTCTCTAGAATCGTGGGTGCAACGCAAAATTGAGCATCAGGAACATAATCCCACACTCTCCAGATCGTAATTCCGCTATTCTTAGCACTGTCTTCGTCGCTCATTTTCATCGCCCATGTTGCCCGGACCTCAGACCATCGGATCACCACGCAAACGGATAAATCCATGCATAAATCGACAAAACTCAGCAACGGCCACCATACCGATGTAGCTGCCCTCAATGGCGGTCTTGGGAGTACGGAATCCCAGACCAACGTCCTTGTACCATCTCCGGCCCTTTCCGACTTTCTTGCTCTTGGGCTTGGTCTTGGAGTTGAGGAAGATGTGCGGCTGCTTCTGGAAGGCACGCTCCGACTGGACGGTCAACTCGGTCGCCATGGTTGCGAGAATTCAGTCCGACACTGCGGAAACGATGTCGAGCTGATTGAGGGGTTTGTCGCGACGGGAAAGGGGAGAGGCTGGTGCTCTGCGGTGGTCGACGTCGATGTTGAGAAAGATTTGTGCGGAGCCTCGAAGTGTCGGATATTCAGAATAGTGTGGGAGTGTGCGGTGGTGCCGCTAGTCCCGATACGGGCTAGCGTGCCTCGGCTAGGGCTAGTTGGTTTGTTTACATTGCGGGCGGCCCAAGGCGGTCACTTGGCCGAGACGCGCCATGATTCCCCCATAGACGTGGATGCTTTCTGCACGCATCTGCTGCATTCACGGCGATGGTCGCATATTTCTGGAGCACATGATTTTCGTGGATTTCGCCTGAACCATATTTTCTCGCGCTTCCACCTCTCCTTCTCTCCTTCAATATGGCGTCGCGAGAATCCGCGGGGACGGTCCGCCCGCGTTCCCGTCGCTCCATCGCCCATATGCCTAAGACGAGCGCTGGCGTGGGCAAGGAGAATGCTACCACTGATGTTGGCAGGATTCGAAATGGTACGAGCAATGGAAGGTCATTGTCCAAAGACAAGAAATCGCGCAGCAAGAGTCTTGGCCCTGGTGGCCTGGATGCGTTACAGGACTCCAACGGCAACCGGCGCAAGGTAACCTACGATGATAATTCACCAGCTATGGGCTCAATCCGTATCCTGTATTACTGACTGTGGCTTCTATAGTCGACCGCCGTCCTGCCTCTTAAATCCATTCTCAAACCTACCATTCCTGTTTCCCCTATTCAACAGATCCCATCATTCGAAGAATCGCGCAAGCGAAATTCAAGTCGCAGCCCTTCTCCGAGCAAATCAAGAAATGGCGCCAATGCAGGAAACCAACAAGCGCAGGAGGGACTGCTAATTGATTTCTCGACCCCAACGCGCGCCCCTGCGACGGGCAATGATAAACTCGACAATCCTTTTGATTCCTTCAATGCCTCATCGGCAATCCGCGACGCGAAGGAACGCGAGGAAAGAGAGCGGAGGGAACGGGAAAGACAGGCTATTATCGAGCAAAGAGAAGCGCGTCGGAAATCTATGGGTGAGTCAATTGTACTTTGACCTAGGAAAATCGTCAGCTAACCTCCATAGCCAATCGAAGAGTTTCGTTTGCGCCCGAAGCCACATTGCACACATGGAATGTTGTCGAGCTGGGTGAAGACTCTACCTCATCCTCTGCATCAAACTCAACAAGGCGCGCATCTTCCTTGAGCAATTCAAGCGACGAAGCCCCATCTCGTGAATTGGATGTTGAACCGCCGTCGACACCGGACGGGGAGGACGATCCAGATGCTGCATTTTCGCCAGTGCCGCACCATGGTCTGCACGAGCAAGCTGGGGATCTGTCGTCGAGCCCTTTCAGCGGCAGTTCAACGGCAGGCAGTGAGGAAACTGGAACGCAGACTCCGGTCAGAGAGGGCGGGGATGGCGAATCCGAATCAGACAATGATTTCGACGGTGAAAGCACCGCGATGAGCCTGGATGATGTCACCAGTCGGACAAACGCTACCTCTCGTTCAGATGGTTCGAGTACTAGTTCCAGTGAGCGGTTGAACGCGGCACTGCGTCAAGCAGCACAAGCAGCTGGGAAAAACGCCATTGAGGTTGACGAGGATGGTGAGATGTCGATGGAAATAGCTGACCAAGAGATTACTGGCGCTTTTCAGCCGTGGATTAAGAAAGGGGAGAGGATCAGTTTCGATATGGAGGACCTGAGCGCATTACAGGACCAGGAGAATATCAATCTCTTCCAGCAGCAGGAACGGAGCAACGATCATAACGACTATGATAATAACGATGATGACATCGAAAATGAAGAACTCAGCATGGACATCACAAACGCGGTTGGGCGCATATTGGGTAAGGATTCCAGCCGTCGCCAGAGTGCTGATCGTCGAAAGTCTGTGGGGGAAGAAACAAATTATGATGAGAAGACAATGGAATTCACAAATGTTGTTGGAGGGATTAAAGAGCAAGCATCCCCTGCCAAATCAGACGCTGATAGCAATGTGAACGAGAATGAGGAAATGACCATGGAATTCACATCGGTTGTTGGAGGTGTTCTCAGCAAGCAACCGTCGAGCTCACAAGTTCAGCAACCAACAAGTACTGGCCCAAACTATTCTGAATGGGGCACTGATGAAGACGATGGAGAAGAGATGGATATGGAATTCACTGGAGCTGTTGGTGGTATTCTTCCCCCTATTGAGGAGCGGACAGAGCCTCAGGACGACCAAACGGCTGGTATGGATATAACAACAGCGATGGGCAGGATTCTGCCACCTGGGCTTCAAACGGAGAACAAACAGCAGGCCAAAGAGCTCATGGAACTTGAGTCTGATGCTGGCCAAGTGGCCAGTTCACCCTTCCAAGAACAGGTTCCCCCATCACCTCCTAAGCTGCCGCCATCACACCATGTGGCTCCAGTGGCTTCTGAAAGTGGAAGTCCTAGCCTAGCCAGTGTCAGATCACGACGCACGAGGAGAAGCTCTGAACGCCGTCCATCAACCACGCCCACTTCGCCTTCACGACAGACCACGCCGCTCAGGAAACCCTCGACCCCCTCAAAGCAGCTGACTCCTCAACCTCTTCGGCCTTCGACCCCTGGAAAGACTCCTCCTTCAAGCAACGTGACTTTCAGAAGTGCGTCGCCTAAGAAACTTTTCAGGCAAGAGATTCAAGAGTCAGCAAGCAAGTCTCGCTCTCCAGCACGCGGAAACCTTTTTGAGAGTGATGCAAAAACTGGGGAGTCGACACCAGCCTTCATTTTGCGCCCACATCCGAGACGTTCATCTGGCTTGGGGATTGACAAAGAAGGTCTTGGATCACCTCGTGTTGCTGCTATGCTTGATCGTCGTCGATCTATTGGCGAGAACGCCCAAGAGTTCGTTCCCCAAGGGCAGCCTCCCAGGCAACTTCGCTTCGACGACCCTGTGAAGATCCAAGAGGAAGTTGATCGTGAACGAGAGGAGGAGGAGAACCGAGAGGATGGTCACATCCCGCCACCTCAGCTGAATGATCGAGATGCAACATCGAACTTAAAGGAGCTTATTTCTAGTCTGACTCCGAAGAAAAAGAAGGTGGGCGGTCGTAAGAGTCTACATGTTGGAGCTGCTAAGGGCTTGCTTGGGAAACGACCGCCTGAGCTTGATCAGAGTGATGACGAGGAAGACAACTCACCTAAACGACTCCGAGGCCGTGATGCTAGTCCTGTAAAGAGCGTCAAACTCCCTGCACCGCCTTCGAAGGAGGAAACAGTGGGACGGAGAACACGGGCGTCAACAAGTAGACTCTCCGAATCGTCACCAGAAAAGAGCGGCAGCTTCACTCCAAAGGAACAGAATCCAAGTGAGGAAGTTAGGAGCCCTTCAAAGGGCGAGGGAGATGCTGAGGAGCCTCCTACAGCGCCAGGCCCTGATGCAGAAAATGGAGAGGCAGAAAATGTTGAACCGGAGTGGGAGCCAATTCATCTACAGGATTTCTTAAACATGACAAATATACATTTCATGGAGCTCACCACTACGAAGCGACGGCATACGACGGCTCCCGGTAATGATCAGAAAGCGTCGGGACATGCTGATGCTGGAGACAACCCTGGAAAGGGAGCTGTCAGTCTTGAAGACTGTGTAGCGGCCGGCTTCTGCACAATCCCGATGCTCGAACTGTATCAGCATGTGAGTTCCCCCTTATTTTTTTTCTACCAATTTTACTTTCTTTCACTTCTGACTCGCAACTGACACGTTCGCTGTTCGTCTCTAGTCCTGCCGTGAGTTGAAATCGTACATCTCCGAAGGAAGACAGATCATTCGTTCCATCGAGGCCGAGACCTACGCTGACAACCCACCACTGTTCCGTGAATATGTGACTGCTCCCCCGGATATACGTCTGTTGATGGACAACCAGTTCCGCAACGTCAAGACGCATGCCAGATTGCTCAGCAAGGCTATGTGGTATGAATGGCGGATGAAACTTCTTGAAGGGCTTAAAGAAGGGCTTGACCGTCACGTCGAGGAGATGAAAGCAGACGATGCGGCCCTGTCGAAGCAGGAAAATATCCTCAACAGCGTGGTCCCAGGGCTCGTGGAAAAGCACTCTGCTTTGGAATCGGAGGCGACCAAGCTTCAGGAGATCGTCGACGAGATGCAAAACTGCGACCAAGATGAGTTGCGCGCCGCGAGGGAGAGACTTGCCAAGGTAGAGGCTGAGATCGCCGCGAAGAAGAAGCAGCTCCAGGAAATGCAGGAAGACCTGCAAGACAAGATCGATACGATCGAGGCTGGAGCAGAACTGAGATCAGAGTTTATGGGCCAGATCCGGGAAGCAGAGCGCATCAAGGAGGAATGTCGCGGATGGAGTGTCAAAGAAGTCAATGCACTGAAGGGTAAGTTGCCCCGCCTACAATTGCACAGTAAGAGCAAAGTTACTGATGATTTGATCCCAGCATCTGTCCAAGCGTTGGAAGCGCAGTCTGGGTGGTCGATTATCTCGGCTGCAGATTCAAAGCCTGAATCTTCTGCGGGACCATTGGTAACAATGCGTTATCGGGACGAGCTTCAGGTTGCCTTCCACCCGAAGGATTTCATGGCTCCTAGTTCGGATGCCCAATCTCCCCAGAAAATGGATTCGGACGTGGGCCCAACGTTTTTCGATCTCACCTATAGTCCCAAGAAGACAGCCACATCTACAACATCAGCGTCTTCGCTCACGCCGGCGAAGTCTCTTATCCTCTCTTGTCTACGGAAAAGGATTGCAACAATTCCACGATCCTCTACTTCTCTCAGGCAACTGCTACGCTTTATTTCCGAGGCGTGGAACCTTGCTGTTACTTTGGAGGAAGAGATGCGCATGTTAGAATTCAACGGTGTTACGAAAGTCACTCTGATGGAGAAAGAAGGTGCTGAATTGTCCTTGCGGGCGAGGTGCATTCTCCTTGGCGATATGACTTCGGGAGAACAGCCGCGCAGAGTCGACGTAGACTTTATTGTGACGCCCTGCGTAGTCGGCCAAAAGAACAAGAAAAACGCAGAAGGAGAAGCGAACGGAGAAAGGCTGGAATTGGATATCGATGTCGCGTTGAGCAAAGTCTACGGATTTGGAAATCAGAACGGGTCTGCGGGCGTAGGCCTCTCAGAGTCCCGCATGCGCGACATCATCATGCAGAACCCAGCGATTGCTTCTCCGGGTAAGAAGAAGATTTCATCGAAATTAGCATCGGGATCAGGTTTAGGACACGGCGTTTGGGGTCAGGCAGTGCGTGATCTTGCCGGGAAGGTTTTTGCTTGATCGACATTTTCAATGGGCTTGTGTTTAACTAGGTACTGGAGTGGCTTGAACATTTTGTCTTGTACTGTACATAGGTTCAGGGTCATGGGCGCACGGAGTTCAGCTTTATTCATTGAGTCATTCTGCAGTACATGCAAGGTTGTTGTCCTAATGCAGTCTCATGCATCGTTCTCCATGCATCCGCCCGCTCGACCTAATCTAGACGTCAGGTAATGAGCTTTGGAATCCTACAGAGTAGAATCGGATTCGTAAACGAGGTTTCTTTCATCAGTCATCGTTCAGAAGGGCACTGCAGAGCTCTAGCCAGGAACGTAGCTGGCCAACTCGGGAAGCAACCTGCACGTCGGCGGGGTTTCGAAGATTAAGTCCGATCCCGTGCCGGCTGTCCCGTCGTGCCGCTCCGCCAGCAGCATCGCAAAGCCTAAAGTCTGATTTGCACCTGTTGACCATGAAACCAAGAGAAAAAAACGGCCCAAGTCCGGATCTTACATCGTATCAGGAAACATGGCCGCCGGAAGGATCCACCGCCGCAAAGGCTAACTGCCATCTCCAACCGTTGGGGACTGATTGATTAATCAACCGACTACCGACTGACCGACCGCCACACAGAGACAGCGCGCTGACTCTGAGCCTCTGGGGACTCCTGCCAAGCCATGTGATCAGATGGCCGCCAAGGCAACTTTGAAAGCTCTTTATTAATATCACTTCCATCAACAATCATTCAATTTTCGTTTCTTTTCCCTTGGTGACCGACCAGAGGATGCAGAGTCCGGGGCCGCCAGGCTGGAGCGTTTCTCGCTCGAGCAGCGGCGGCCTTTTCGCCTTCGCTCCACAAGTGGACCACCGCCATCAAGGCTGGCGACATGGAGACGTAGATGTCGATGCAAGCGAGTGGAAGAACCAGCAGCATGAATACAGCACGCGGAGACGTGCGCCAACAGTAAGAATACATGTTTTCTCAGAATTCACTCCAATTGAGGACTGCTGCTCACTGCGCTGGGATAGGCTTGCGATATGTGTCGTAGAAGAAAGATCAAGTGCGAGCTCGAGGGCTCCGCCAATGTATGCGTTCAGTGCACCCAGCGCAAGACCAGGTGCGTGTTCAATTCGAGGAAACAAAAGGTGGAATCTCTCAAGAGGTAAATTTCCTGATTTTCCTTTCCTTTCCTTTCTTTTGTATTTGAGCTGGCCGCTAAATATACATCTCTAGAGCGCAACATGTGAGATACTTAGAGACGCGCTTGAAGCAGCTTGAGTCTTTGTTACGGACTGCCGGTGTTCTTCCTCAGGACTATATCAATGAGGAGCACTCTCGCCAGGATGATGAAGAGCTCTTGGATTATGAAGATGAAAATGACAGTGACGATGACGACGATGACGATGATGAGCAAAAGACTGTCACTCCCAATTCATCAACCTCGTCGCACTCTGAGACCAAACGGAATGAGGATTCTCCTGCGCCTCACCTCTCGCTGCTCAAATCGTGGCTGGAAGGGGAGCCACGATATTTTGGTACGTCCACAGACCCTTTCCAACATGTCTGAAACGTTGGCTTATAGCTGTGGTAGGTCACGCGTCGAGTCTATCCATTTTGTCTCAAGAAGGGATCCAGTGGATCAGGGAAAAATCAGGCGAGACCGATTTCCCCAACACCCTCCTTTCCCAGCCATGCTGGCAAACGAGACCGGGGGGCCAATGGCGGCCGGATGTGTTTCACGACATCTTCTCGTGCCGAGTCTACAAGGCCCTGCCACCCCGGTCAGAGGTTTTCGCCCTCCTGAAAACCTACTTTCAGACCATTAACCGGATCTTCCCCGTCTACCATGAAGAGTCCTTTATGCGAATGCTGGAATGGCAGTACACTCAGCAGACTTGCACCGATGTCGCCCGATGGGCGAGTATTAACATTCTGCTGGCCCTCAGCTACCGATACCGGCAAAGCCACGGCCCACGGCCGGAGAAAGACAACGAGAAAGCCTGGCTGTATTTCAAAAATGCTGCCTCCGTCCTGACGGAGCTGAGCTTGCGGCGTAGCGATCTCCTGAGCATCCAGGCGTTACTGGCTATGGTGCGTGTACCCGTTCGTCTCATGGATCATTACTGATTGATTGAAGGCCATCTTTCTTCGAGGCAACTGTGGTCTTGGGGCAACGGTTCCTGTCGTCACGGCGGCGATTCGATCCTGCCACTCATTAGGTCTCCATAAACGTTTGCCTCGCTCCGATCTGTCACCAGTAGAGCAAGAACAAAGAAAGAGGGTTTTCTGGATTGCCTACTTTTTTGATCAAACGTGTGAAGCGCCCGTTCTGTGACAGAGCGACAGAACCTAGGCTAATTTTTGCGTAGCATCTCGATCAACGTAGGGACGGCTGCGCTGCAGGATTACGAAGATTTCGACGTTGACTTGCCAAGCGACGATCTTTCGGAAGGAGCAGCAGTGTCGGAAATGGGCCGACAGAACTGCGGCGTGCGCTACTTCCGGACCTTATGTCAGCATACGGTTATCAGGAGCCGAATTTACAAGGAATTGTATTCGACAAAGGCCCTTACCAAGTCCATTTCCGAGGTTCGTGCGACAGTGAACAAATTGAGCGCAGAATTGGAAAAATGGAAGCGAGACAACCCGTATATCAGCGTACCATCGTCCGCAGATGCCGCGAAAGATGATGTGGAGTTGATTTCGAGAATCGGGCAGCGCCTTTCTTATTATAACTCGTTAATTATAATCCATCGGATGCCTTTCTTACATGAAGTGCTAGTCTGGAGGGGTCACCCGTCCCTTTCGGGTCCCAATGTCGATTACAAATCCATCTATGGCGAGTCTTATGAGTCGATTCAGTTATGCGTCCAGGCGGCACGAGACTCACTAAAACTGATCAATCAGCTGCCCTGGAGAGATATCGGATACGCCTGGTAGGTTTAGTCAGGGAGAGTTTGTGAAGCGAAGCTAATACTTGTCCAGGTCTCTTTTGGATTATCTTTTTGTTGCGGTCATGATTGTCTTTGGCAGCATCCTCCGGGAGACGAAGGACCCCAAGACGCAGGAGGATCTCAAATTGCTGAACACGGCAGTGACTTACTTTAACACGCTTGCTCCTCAGAATGGTCGGTCCAAGACGGCCAAGTTCATGGCCACGATGAGCTCTATTATGGAACGGGTAGCCAAGAAAGTGGTCGAAAAGGAAGCGAACGAGACGAAAGCTCCGAACAGTGTTTCCACGAAACAGCAAGGCTCAACGGGACCTGCTGCCAGCACAGATGGCGATGTGCAGATTCCTGATATTGAGGGGTTCCCCCCGGTGAATTCATCCGGCTACGTTGTTCCAGGAAGTCCTTCCGAACAGTGCTCGTCGTCGTTCGTTCCAGGGAGTATACCTCCTGCAGATGTCGATACGACAGTTGATATGACCGGTTTAAGACCACCGCAAGATATAGACCAGCTGAGCACTGCCCCCAGCTATCCGTGGCTTCTTCCGGATGCGTATTCTTCGTTCGCCAACGACCGGTCCGTTCCGTCCGAGCTGTGGCAGATCCCCATTACGGCTGAGTGGCAGCTTCTCGATCAGTTTCCAGAACTGCAGACCAACCCAATGTCGCAGACGATGGAGCAGGGCGTGGATGCCAATGCTGTTCCAGATATGGGGCAAGACCTATTCAATCAAACTGGGTGGCACTGTTATGGATAGTTGTGAGGACAGACACCTTACGCAATCAAGTCGTAACCACTAGAGAAGCCTCAGAGCAACTTCCAATATTGGACGCGCTGACGTGGCTATCCGTTGTACTTGATAGCTAGGCATGTCCTATCACCTGGCATGATTGTCTGCGCTCGCCAAGTCGCCCGTCCCGATAAGAGCTCATCTTCCAGCTTCCAGTCATAACATGAGGCGCATAGATGTTGTAGGGTATTCCACGGCCCGAATCCGCCAGAGTGACCCAAGCTTGACTCAAGGCTTGAGAGTGCTATTTTCCGCCGAATATCCGTACTCTTTGTCCGTGAATCGAGAGAAATTGCAGGCGCGCTGGAGTATCTAGACTCTGTTATGCAGTTCTGAGCTTCCATAAGGAGGCGGGCTCCATTCTATAGTCCAAGAAGACGGCGTCGCATGGCAAGATGAATGTCAGTCACGCACAGGTCACAACAGTTTGTGATGCATGGGTCAGGCAGGCTTACCAGGTGACACGAGAAGACGAGTCTCTTCTCCAAATCGAGGGTCTTGTCATGTCAACCGATATCTCGTGTGTCTGTCTGTTAGTACGCTGGTGGCAGCAAACAAACAAACACCTGACCATTTGTCTCTTTTGCATCATCTGTCACCTTTGCACTTCTTGCACCCATCCTGTCTGCTGACTTAGGTAGGCAGCCTGGGCAACCCACCTGCCACCAACCAGCCAATCACCCCATAGCCCAAGGGCACATATAATGCCCTTTTCCCTCTAACCTGTTAACGAATGCGGGGCGTAATGGTGGAGCGGTTAGGTCTGCACCTGCAGCAGGACTGGTAAACAGACTGTCAAGAAAAAAACAAAAACACCGCGCGTTCGATCCCTCTGGGCTCCAAAAAACATAAAAGTCCCAGTTACCTAACAAATCCGCGGGGGTGCTGCGGGAGGGACGACACCCCTTATCAGAGGCTTTCAGGGGCTTTTTTTATTTATACCTTCTCCCCTTGATTTTTTTTCTCGTAATGTGATGTTGTTGTCATTTCCTTTTTGGGAAGGATGTCGGGTCGTATATCAGTTGTCCAGCGGAGTATCAGTCCACAGATGATTAGGCATAAAATGGGCTCAACTTTGACCTTTTTTTTTAGCCTTTGTGTCTCTCACATGGTAGACTCGTGTTATATATACACTGGTGCTCTTGCTGGTATCTTGTTGCACTGGGTCATCCACTTTTTTTCCTGCCTTGTATCATGACTCCATCCATTTGTCTGTCCAGCTTGGATCCAACCAGAAAATACTATGCCATACTCGCCATAAGTTACGTGAATAGATCAGATAAGAAAACTACTAAATATCGAATTATCTGTCTGTCTGTCTGTCTCTCACTGTATAGAACATACCCTGCAGACGCAGCGCGCTGCACATTGTACTGTATGTACAGTACAAACAGACATTGAAGGAGCAGGAAAAAAAAAGAAAAGAAAAAAGAAAAATGATAAAAAAATCGTCAGATCCTACTATTCTGAACTGTACTATGCACTCTACCTTACGACGAGGTTCGTGGAAGGAGGAGCCCAATCCGATGATCCGAGTGTAGTCGGCATTCGCACGCAGCCCTAGCTCTAGCTAGCCAAGAGCAAGAAGAGCCCTGAACCCTAAGAAGCCCTGAGGTATTCCGTGTACTGTACAGTACATACGTCAACAGACAGACAGCGAACAGTGAACAAAATGACGTTTAATAATAAAATAAAATAAATAGGTTACTAATGGAAAATAAAACAAGTTTAATGAATTAAAAAACAAAAAAATGATTGTTTTTATTCGAGTTTCTGGATGGAAGACAAGAAAGAAGCAGGCCTACTCCAAAAAAAAAGACATTATCCATAATATAAATTGGTATAAAAATATATAAAATAAGGATAGTCTATCATTTTCATACTCTAAATACACAGGAATAACCCATTAATATATAATCCGAATTAATAATATTCTAAACATTCTGCTCCAAGTCGTTTGTTCCATCGGTAAATCGGCGCGACTACCAAAGACGTCGTGTATCGCCATCGCCATGGTCTTTGTCGTATTCGGACTCCCAGGATCAAGTCTGGAATAGGGTCGACCGGTCCTTGATAATCTGGCGGGCGGTTTTCGCGTTGGTGCATTGGCATTTGTGTAGGGGATTGACGGAGAGATTCAAAGATTGGAAAAAAAAAAGAAAGAAAGAGGCGTCGAAAAAAAAAGATCATCCATAGTATGTGCAAAAGTGAAAATCACACTGAACTTTCATACAACTAAAATGCAAGGCTTACCCATACCCGAGAAAAGAAAAAAAAAGAGAGTATTATTCTCGCCCCGGGCTGGCTCTTATCAATTGATCTGGATGGACACTGTTCTGGCTATCTGCAGCGTCATCAACAAAGACGTCTGTCCATCGAGTCGATCTATAGATGGAAATAAATGGTGGTCGTTTATAGCCTTCAGGATTGGGTCGAGATCATCCTGTGGAAAAAAGGGTTATGTCGGGATGTGGCAGTGATAATTGTCGCCGTAGTGTTGCTCGAGGTGTCCGTGTAGCAACATATATTCCAACGAGAAAGACCACACAGGAGGGCAAACGTAGCAGCGATGGGACAATCTCACGGCAGGCCAAGCAGCGGGGGTTGTCAAGTCAAGAAAAGAAGCAACTTGCATTGGGTAACTCTGGAAGACCGTAGTAGCTGCAGGGAGAAATCAACAATACCCTCGCTCATTCGACCCTCATCTGGTGAAATGCATTTCTGGCAAAACATCCAGCCGTCCAAGTCTTCAAGCTTGCTCTCTAATATGTAGGCTGGGAAGCCCCATGGGAATGCAGTTGCCCTCTATATAGTGCTCCTGTATAGCCTCAGGAACCACAAACGGATGATTGCTTAGCGAAATCCTTTCGCGAGCAGGAATTTCCTCCTCTAATGTAACATCATGTAATGCTCCTGTCAATTCCGGAGGAAAGAAATCTCAGGATAAATTCCATCGTCAACGAAGAAGGATCGAAGAGCAGAGAACATCCAAGACGTAAAACTGATGTCTGATGTTTGCAAATGTTCATCAATGATTTGCACTGGATCCGCGGCTGAGCTGTTCAGAGAATGATGGAACTGATTCGTAGGGAAGAAGCTGCTTAATTTAAAGGCTGCCTACCAAGGCGGAGGGTAGGCGAGCCGAGACATACTGCTAAGGATGTCTAAGACACCTAACAAAGAATGATAGAAGCTTGTTGTGAGATTGGATTTTGTCAAGACCGAGAAAGAGATGTGCATGGGTTAAGTCATTTAGTGGCGCCTTCTTGTCCTCTTTTTTTTTTTCTGTCGATAACGTCTGGTTATCTTGTCAGTCAGATGAATCTTCTTGTTTCAGAGTTTAGAGTATATAGGAGCAGGTTGTATTGATGAGGAAAGCATACCAGCCTTCAGTCGTCATAAGTCATCTTGTGTAGCCTAGTGTCGATATGAGGTGCATGTGCCAGGGTCCATGTACAGAACAAGGCATGATAGTGGTGCCTGCGCAGTTGGTCAATCGGTCTACGAAACTACTATTGCAAGGCAAACAAAACACACTTACCCATTAGGGAGAGCAAGTGATGGAAGAGATAGAAATCAGAGAAGGACCATCCATCCTCCTGGGGACTTAAAAGCTTCTGCCAGTCTGTGATGCCACAGAGCCCCAGAATTCGGCTCTGGGATAAATATAAACTTTCATAAGGAGTTCTTGCCTGATATGACACATGCGACCTATTGCTAGTTGCTTGACAGAGTATAGAACTGGATGGAATTGTGATGCGATTGGCAGTACATATGAGGTTGTACTCCCTGTAATCGCCAAAGCCAACAACTTGCCTCTCGCTAAGAGATTGGGTGTTGACATGGTACTCAACACGTAGAGATAAGTTCCTTGCAGCAAGACCATACTGATAGGCTTTTAGGCAGTCAAATAGGACAAGGTTAATGTATGTCCTACACAATGCTGCAGCTGAGCTTTCTCTCTAAAAAACTTGCAGCTCTCATCTCATATAAGACAGTTTCTAATCTGAAGTCAGCAAGGCTGCCCCATTATTAGGTTACCACGAACGTACCAGAAAACAGGATTGGATCAAAACAGCGATGAAGCAATGGAAATTGGTAAGAAAATCGATGAGAAAACGCGTACTAGAAGGTAGGATTCTTGGTCGTAAGAGAGTTGTATTCTCTAAGTTCCTCGAGGTTGAGGAAGCGAAGAGGGCTGGGAGCCCAGTGAATGAGCTGCAAACATAGTGTCAAGAGTCTCTGGAGAATAGCACCTGGTGATGGAGTGATGCAGCGATATCTGGAACTGGCCTCCAATATTCGATATTGAAGAGACAGGCATTTTGGGGACGTCAGGCATCCATTCTCCTAGATTGCAGGAATTAGTTGGCCGCCACGAATGCTGGTTCAGAAAGCAAGATTTGTTGCTTCAGGTATCATTTGTCTGAGAATTCCGGGAAAAGTCTGTAAACGAATGGAAGGTGAGCGCAGCGATTACCACACAAGACGTAAGAGAAGCGACGATCACGGGTGGTAGCTGATCGGTATACAGGGAAATACAGTGTGCCATCTTTGACGATAACCCAATGCATTGGAATTCCCGCTGTAGATTCCCTGGCGATCCAGTTTTCTCCGGTGACCAGACTTCCATGTTTCTAAAGACAGAGCCATATCTTCCTTGCACCGCACAAAATCAGTAATAATTGAGCCATGACAGACAATGTTGGACTCGATGAAGCACGTCATGGGCCTCGGGCACCCCTTCCGCGAGTTGTTGGTCTGTCCGCTTTCCGCCACGAGGTGGTCGGGATTGAAGCATTGGCACTGGTCGCACAGGTGGGAAATGTGAAGCGTCGGCTGGTCCGCGCTGTTGCTGGCGACAAAGGAGATGATGTGAAGCAGAAATGCTGTCTGGGCCAAGCAGCCCTGGCGATGGATGTTCCGGTTCTTCTTTGCGAACACCTGCCCATAACCATCGGTGTTAATCCAGTTCATAATAGCATAACCCCACTAATGTGAGAGCTTCATTTTGAGCACAATTGTCGGAATGGTCTATTCACCAACCATTCGATTGCGTTCTGATTCTCGAACCCAGGCAACTTCTTTGCTCTGCATGGCAAAGCGAGGCACTGGGTGAGTGCCGTATGTGAATTCGGAGTCATCTGTCTGGGCGGGAAGCCGACGCGTGTCGCCGCAGAGAACATATGCATAAGCCGGTCCAAGAAAGCTGCGTGTAGTGAGATATACGGGATAATAGGGGATGACATGTTCTGCTTTGACTCGCGACTCGGGTATTATGTTCGGATTCCGTGGACTAGCTTCGTCCAGGATCCTCTGAAGAGCTCGAAAGTCCTCAGCAGCCCTAATCCCATCCCTGCTTTGCGTTGCCGTGTCTGAAGATTGCAAGAGAGACAAATCGGAAATTGCCACATCTCGCTTGGGGCTGTCCTTTCCAGTCGTTCTGTGGCTGCTTCTGCAGTGGCTGCGGCTGCAGTCCTTCCGTGGCGTTCATTGATACCTTGTTTATATTGTCAGATTTGATATTATTGATTAGAGATGATCCGTAAAACTTACTTCGTATCTTCCTCCACAAGAAGGCATTTATAGAGCTCGTTCAGTGGTGCAGAGCAACATGGCTGTACGACTGTGGTGAGTAGGACTTGGCGCCGTTTCTCTTGTAGGCCAGGTTCGTGATCAGCTTGATCTTGCTCGCCATGGCTGCTGGTGCCGGATTCAGTCGGTTACAGATATCATCGAACCGGCTAGCCAAGATATAGCCCTGAATAATCTGCATATATACGAGGGCTCCAGCGTTGGAGTGTCCAGGCTCGAGCTTCCTGTCATACTCCGTATATCTATTCAAGGTCACGTTTGTTGCTGCAATCTCGAACCGTCCTCGCTTTCTGTATATGCCAGTCAACGTTATTTTCTTGGATACAAGTGGCGTTTGTAAGCTGACGTCAAAACTTACGGCTTGGCAGCATAATGCTCATGCAAACCAGCTTGACTAATATCCTCATGACACTTGCATTTCTCGAAAGAACCATTCTTGGAGCTGGCCGTAAATTCATGCCCTGAGTGATTTCAGCCAATGACAACAGGGCCGATCCGTTGGGAACAGAATGAACAAATTCGCAAAAATTCTGGCGGACAAGATATCTGGATACTCGCATCAAGAAGTTTCGAGACCCAAGGATTTTTGGTATGCTTGCACAAGAAATATGCGCACTGCTGTCATCAGGCTCATGATCCAAGACTTGACCGTCCTTGAGCCAAATGCTGACGCCTGGGGTAGGTCCTCGAAGACGAAACTGGCATTGATAGAAAGGCTGAGACTAAAATGTATTAATTCGAAATGCTCTTCTCCAAATGTAGGCTGAGATTACCTGCCTCGTTAAGAAACGGGCATTGCGCCAGCTCCCTACAGCACCCATGCTTCAATATACTGCCTGCCGTTAGCTCAGCACATCCGTATTAAAGATATGCAGATCATACGTACCTGGTTTTGGTGACTCAAGATCCCAATATTATATAAAAAGTGTGCACTAGGAGCATCTCTTCTGGATGTCACTGTCTGTTTTCCATTCGTCGATAGTGGCTATCCTATCCCAAGCTGAGGATGGTGACTCTGTCTCGGTAGCGAAAGAGATGCTCGCAGTCGCACTCGAAGTATGCCTGG